GATTTTACCGGCGACAACGGGTCTTTCTTTGGTAACGCCCGCTTTTTCCTTGCATCCTTCTCTCTTTTTCTCTTTCCGTCCTGTTCCGTATTTTTTTTTGTTTTCAATCTTCTCACACCACGGGTGGCGTTAACCAAGAGAAACATAAAAAATTACCCTGAAAACACATCGCCTTATATAGCGCGCACGATTACTTTTATTTGCGTCAGAAATATTCTAATTTATTGTAATTAAATTAATAACTTCATGAAAATTATATAGACATACATATTATATCGCACATATTATTAAGAAACTTTTTAATATCTATTTACTTCATTGACCTATCGTTTCGACAATAAGATTCTTTCTAACTTTATTTACTAAATTACTAAGAAGATAAAATCTTCTTTTCCGATTGGAGATTCTCTCTTCGCGATCTTCTCCTTGATTCGTTTCGAATATGGATTTGCGTTAAATTATTCATGCACGCATCGCAAATGTAGTAATACGGAAAGACGCTAATATAGTAACCGCCTCGTCGTTATCGTCGCAATCGTACTTAGCGATGACGATTTCACAATGCGCTGCTATACGGCAGGCTGGCAACAAACAATTGTCTGCCGCTCTAGGCTACTAAAACGCAGGTGTTTTCCTACGTACGCCGGTGCGCAAGGCTGAGAATATATTTCTATGCGTGATTTATCTCTGGCAAGGACATCCTGCTTAGACCAGATCACCCCAAAGATGGGATCAAGTTCGCGGCACGTGTTAGATTAAGTGTTGCGGAATTGAAGATAGAACCGTTCAAGATTATTGTTCTTTTCTCGACACTTCTATATGAATTTATTGCACAGCTTATAGTTAGGAAATTTTTGTGGACTTCTATATTACCGTTATTTAAAGTGTAAAACACAATAAAAATTTAGACAAATAATTAAATTTAAAAACGAATAGAAAATTAATATTCTATGTATCTTGTGTTATGATTTGTTAAAATTAATCATAAGATTAATTAAACTTTTACTAGCATTCATTAACGTTTTAAATCAGACTACCTCAGAAAAAAATATTAAATGATGCTATTTGAGAAATGCTCGTTCAAGACGCTCGAATTTTGCGTGCAATTTTTCTCAGTTTTTTTCATGACGCGAGTTTTGCTCGTACTACTTCTGCCGAGTGATAGAATCGCCTTTTGCCGCATTCTCGCACTCCTAACGCGCGGAATGAAGACGTCGTCGTCGCTGGTACTCCATAACTGTAAAATTGTGCAGATCTGAAGAGCAGGTTCGTCACTTTGATCGATCGCAACCGTACCACTGAACTTACCGGAGACACCGATGTTTTATTACAGTATACGCGTCAACATTCTGCAAATCCGATTATGCCACACTCAAATATCGCGTTTCCAGATTAAAGATTATTGTCGCTTTCGTTAAGGCTCCGGCTCAGGCATCGCGATTATATACAATAGAATTATGGATGTCGGAAGCGAGACGTCGCTCCTGATTTTCTTCCTGTGGCAAATGAATTTTCGCACGTCATTATTCATACTTGAAACGCTTCTGGAACTAATTCCCTATTAATATTTCTAATATAATATAAATAAACAAAGCATTAAATATCTTGGGCCCAGTTTCACAAACGTCGATTATATAATTTCTAACCTTCTCGGTTAACTCACTCTTCGTCTCTTTCTAACGTCCCTCTTTAGAAAGAGACGAAGAATAAGTTAA